TTTGTTATCTATTTCACAATTGTGTAAAACGATTGTTTATTTATTTCCTAGATTTTTAAATGACATAAGGTTTAGGATGACGGGTGCAAAAGGTTGTTAAATGATTTCTATTTGCTTAAACTGTTAGTCCTTACGATTTTTTGGTTAGCTTAACCTGGGTCTATTTGTTCAGGGTTGGAGAGAAAAGTATATCTATTCCGAAAAATGATTTTTTACTTTCTCGTGGCTAGTATAAGCTGAGGTGTTAACTTACTTAATCTTACTTAGGGGTAATGATTGTGTTCAAGGGTTGGAGAATAGTAAATCGATCCACAAGGTTCAGGTATAATTAGAACGCGAGTAGTTCGTTAGATACTATTTTAAACTTACTAAGTCTAGGATTTATCCTGGGTCTGGTAAGAGGGGGGATCAAGTGAAAGATGAATAACCGAAGTTCTTCACTGTTTATCCTAATTTGAATGATTAGTTTGTTTAAAAATTTCTATTAGTCCTGGGTTTTTAGAAAGGGTTGGATAGTGAATCGACGTTTGAGGTCGTTAGACACTAGTTAAGTGGGTGGGGGAGAACAAAATTGTTCTTTTTGATCCAAGGATAGGCCTTGATGATCAAGTTTTAAATTTAATTAAGTAGAAAATGATTTAAGATCCAAGGATAAGCCTTGATGATCTGATTTTAAAATTAAGTGAATTTAAGTTTTAAAATGATTTAAATTTGTGTAAAGAAAAGATTTAGTGTTTTGATGATATTAGTGAGCTTATGAATGCTGTTATGTTTAGGTGATGAATCTGGAACAACAGGATGATTTATGATTACTAACCATTTATTGTCATGCTACTAATTTTTATTTTGATTTTCCAATAAATATTTTTCAAACATGTTTTGTATATTACTGCAGAATTTAGGGAAACGATCTGAGATCTTTTTATCAATCGTTATTGTATATTAATAATTTTGTTTAGCGCCTGAAATGATTTTGAAGATTGACTTCAAGGTTTTATGTTTGCAAATGAAAATCTAAATTCATTGCCAGTAGTATTCTAAATACAAAAGTTTGTGTTGGCTTTTGCCGAACTATCATATAACTATATGGTAAGTTTCTACTTTGTCGTATGTCGTCTCTGGTTCGAGGTCTTCTTCCAATTCCGGGTAGTTTTGTTATCGTTCGGAATATTGGCTCTGATCTATTGAGTCGTAGAGACATTTCGATTAAATTATCGTCGTATAACATTTTGTAAATGTTTTGTCTAAATTCTAATCTATTATTGGTTAATTCTAAGCTATTAAGGTCTTGTTCGAGACTTATGGTCGCACCAGATGAGTTAGGACCGAAGTGTATAACTCATAGAGTAATTTCGGATAGGGTACACCGTCTGCTCGTCACGCTATCTTATTTTCGGCCGGATAGATTCGTGCAACTTCTTAGTCTAATACCGATCCTAATCTTACTCTTATACTATCTAGTCTCAGGTTGTTTAACTAGTCTCTGCTAGGCTCAATAGATCTAGGGTATACTGGTTTATTGCGGCTGCTGAAGTACTCGGGAGAGTTCAACTAATCTCTAAGTTAAATTCAAATCTCTCTGGTGCTGAAATTACAAGTAATTTCAGCACTTACAAATAAGTGGATTGTTAGTTAGATGGATCATGATTGGTTAATATTAAATATTTTACATTGGTAAAATATCTAATTTATCCAATCATAAAATGTAGTTTAGATCAGGTTCCAATACACAAGGTGAAAATCAGATTCAAAAATTTCCTTTGAAAATATTTTTGAATTTATGTTCAATTTATAAAAGAAAAGCTCTAAATATAGTTGAAGTATCCAATTGAAACTAAACAAAAATGAGTGCTTTGTTACTTTTTAACAAAAAATCCTGCTAGAAGAAATAGGATTGAAAAACGACAATTTTACGACCAATTTTTTTGTAGAAGCGAACAGCCAGTCTTTTTTTGTGGAAAATTCTTAATATGACGAATCACGCTATGCACAACGGACGCTAATTGCGGTAACTGATTTGATAACGTTTTCTTGATTTCATGATTAAGCCTGTTTAACAACTGTTGTTTCTTTTTATATAAGTTAAAAAATTTTGAAAAAGATGACCCAAAAGTTCTAAACATAGTAGCACGTTTGTTGTGCAGTTACGAGATATAAAATTTGCAATTTTTTTTGTTCAAGCGATAAAACTACTACAGTTTCACGGTTGAAAATTTGAAATAAGATGAAAAGAAAACTGTTTTGCAGAAAAGAGCCGCATAAAAACAGCAAAAAATGTTTAAGAGACGTCAATAGGCTATTTAACCTGAAGGCGCGTCAGTGATGTGTTCTTAGTGCTATTAATAGCTTCTTAGATCGTAAACAGCAGAAGCATTTCAAAATATTGGACTTAAAAGTGTTTGATGGGAGTCTAAGGATCTAGGAGGTGTGCATATAACTGAAAGACAACCACTAAGAATTTTTCAAATAAGAAAACCATCCGAATAGTCCAAAAAAGATGGTCGTACAATTCTCACAAATAGCCCCTACACTTCATACATTTAAAAAAACGCTTGACATGAATATGAATAGCATTCTCCTATATATGAGAATTTTCTGACTAGCATTCTTCCATTTTGAAAGTAAATGGTTATAAACACAAAGTAAGGACAAAACAGATATACGAAGTTGAATTTTGTCTTAAATTTTTCCGTCTGTTCTAGAGCACCATATCCAAAGAACCCAAAAGTTACGTAGGTGACAGAAAATTCACAGATAATCTGAGAAGACTCACCATCTAAGATGACACAAGGAAGATCAAGTGAAATTATAACAAAAAAATTAGATTTTGTAAATAACTAGAAGGCTTATATGAGCATGCAATTCAATTACGGAAGAATGCTACTCATACAATTCCCATATATGAGGATTTTATGAGACAAAAAAACATTTTTCAGAGACAACAAATCCATGGAGTTTTGTGACTCCTAGCAATTTAAGTGTATGGATGTCAACCCTGGTTTTAGATGGAACGGCAGTAGTATTATCCCGCATCCAGTTTCAAGCGTTAATAATCGATTATATTACGATTTTAGTACCAGTCTCACTAAAATTGAGAAACAATCGATTTTAATCTATTAATAATCGATTATAATCACTCTTTTTAAAATCAAACTATAAATAATTATAATCCATCATAATCGACTATTTATTCGTCTATTTTTTGATACAATTATAATCGATTATAATTGATTATAATCCATTATTTTTATTCAAAATTCTATTTCTTTAGTTTTGCACAAAAATCCATTATAATTGATTATAATTGATTATAATCCCTTTTGTTTGTCCATTTTTGTCTTCGAAGTTGCATCTAAATTGCTTATTTTTTATGCTTTTTGTGGACGTTAGTTCCTATGAAAAACGAGAGGGAATTTTTCAAAGTTTTCTAATTAATTCATATTTTTAAGTTTTTTTTTCCATTTCTTCCCCATTAGAGTTGTTTTGTGATGCATATTTTAAGCTTTTATAAACACCAAAACATCAGCAAATTGATTTAGTTTCATGATTGATTCCGAAAAATTATCTTTCATCTACCGCGAGAACCTTTCCAGTCATATGAAAGGATCTCTGTGAAACTTTTGTTTCGTGGTAAAACTTTGTGTTCAGATGAACCAAAGTGTTCAAGAGATCTCTCTTTTAGAGATATTTTTATTGACACAAAAATAAAAACCCATAAGATACAATTCGAAAATAGGAAAATTCCGGCAAAATAAGAGATTATAATCGATTATAATCGATTATAATTGATTTTAAGGGTTTTTAGTAAGAACTATAATCAATTATAAGAGATTATAATCTCTTGGAAAATATCACGATTATAATCAATTATAAATCCCTTAAGGACCTAATTTTGGTAATTATAATTGATTATAATTGTCAAAAAATCATCATAATAATCCGTTATAATCGATTATTTACGCCTAAACTTGGATGCGGGATTAAAAATTAATAAATTGCAGTTTGTGTTCTTATGAAAAAAAAAACGTAATTATTCTTTTATCGCTGAAAAGTTTCTGCTTTTGAAAAATTCAGTGTTTGAAAATCGTGGGCTATTTTTGGGCATCTTAGGTCTACGTTAGCATCAAAAAACAATTAATACTAAATCTGATCTTATAGAAAACCTTTGTTGTTATTTTGATTCTTCTGTGTAAAAAACTTTGTCTGAACTAGGTTACAGGAAAAACTTGAAACGCTCTTGCATGCAAAATTGCTTTGATTCTAAACTGTTTGTCCGAGCATAGAACTGATTTAGCAACTGACGAAAGTTTTGAAAATTGTCCTACAGTTTTGATATTTTGTGTCAAAAATTACTAGTCATGCAGTCCTAATAAAAAGAAACCGTATGACAGGCATTTTTCCCAGTACATTCAGCAAAATGTCGATTATTCAAAACTAAGTAGCACCAAATTGAGAAAATTTGAAATTTTCTCGGTATTTAGAAAACTCGTATCTTACAATTTTTATAACTGGAAACTGTATGAGAAATGTTTTTCTCTAGATTCTACACTGACAATTGTATGACAAGCTTTTTTCGTATCGAATTGATCCCTTTGTAATTTATCTAGTTCGATCTATAAAATAGTAATGTTTTTTTTTAAAATATATCCGTCCTTTGGAGTTTTAACTCAGCAATATGCAAAAAGTAAGTTTTCTAAAAAAAAACTAAACTTTTAAAGAGATACAACAAAAATTCAATTTTCAAACTGCAAAAACAGTTGAAAGTTGCTATTTTTTGGTAATTTGCAAAGTCTTGACTATTGATTTGCGAAATGGAATGGGAAGGCAAACTTTGCAAAAACTCTCCAAGATGGTAGCAAATCTTGCAAAAAAAACAAAAAATTAAAATTATATTCGAAAGACGAATGAAGTTTTTGACAAACCAAGTTCGCTGAGGGAGTACATAAAAAAATTCTGTACAAAAAAAACAACAAATTTAGCTGTTAAAAACTGATTCTCACTTGTTGGCGTGTTTGGTGTAGAACAAATCCAGTTCAGGTGCTCGGGTGTTGCTGTAATTTCGATGAGTCAGACGCAATTGGCTGAAGAGAAGCAAAATTTATTTCAATATGGAAACATTGCAAAGTTAAAATATCGAAATATATTTTAAATTTACTCAAACGCTTTATAAAGAATAAAGCTACAGTTAGAAAACCAAAAAAAAAATCTTTTTTTTTCTTTGGTCAGCAAAATATATGGAAGCGAAAAGAATTGCAAAGTTGCTTCTTTCTATTGCCAAAAAAGTTGGCTTCCAGTGATTTCATCAGTCACGATTTTATTTTAACATAATTCAGTTTTTTGAAATGGGTTTTCTGAATTAAAAGTATTTGAAAAAAAAAAGAGATTACGGACGTCAAAAACCGCAGTTTTTAAATTTCATATGTAACCTCGCTAAAACTACTTGGCCGAGAATTTTGCTGCAAGACAAACTTGATATAAACTATGAATGATTGTAAGCTCTTGATATTGATTGAAACTAGGGGGGCTTCTTTCGCCGTCTTTACCTGACGAGACTTCGGAACTCGGATCTGGGTAGCTTAGGAGACATGTCCAGGAGTGGGAAAAGGTTCATTCTAAATAAACACACAGAGTAACAATTTCGGCTCATTTGGCGAATAATCAAAAAATTTCAAAAAGAAGTAAATAAATGCTTATATCTTTCGCACTCTGTTGCTCTTTAGAGCTTGATTACAGCTGAACAAAAAAAAGTGTTGATGAAAAAATTGAAAATATAATTATATTTTTGAATACACTGCTTTTTTTCATGTTACTGATTATATTTATGTTTGACCAAGCTCTGAAAAAAAGTCAAGACCCCTAGAGCATATAAGCAATAGCTAGTTTTTTTAACAAAAAATCTTCGACCATTCGTAACACGGCATTCGCTTGAAGAGGTATTCTACGTCTGAATATTTTTCCCGCTAAATCTTATGTAACGATTAGTCACCTGTTACGAGTTGTCTGTTTTTTGAAGTAGATGTGCTAGGCACTACCATGTCAAATGTTTTTTTTTGCTCGTCAGTTGTGGAAAGCTTTGCGAAAATGATTGGGCCACGAATGAAAATTCTTATTATTGCCTTTACGGTTGTGATTTGCCTGCCATAAAAATGCCCGTTTAAAAGTAAAACTGGTTGCAAAACTTTTCCTTGCTTCTCAGCACCCCTATAAACACAAGCTTAATGTTGTTTTACAGCTGAAACTATTTCCACTGAATTTTATTGTTCACGATAGTACGAATTCTCCCGAGAGGTGGAATCCTACGGCATCTAACTTATCTGAGTTTATCAAGATCAACCAACCTTTTTGCCTTATGAAAAAAATAACAGCAGCAAATTTTGACAAAGTCGAAATATAACAAAAAAGAAAACAGCGAGATGCTTGTCACTGCACAAGCAAGAAATTAAATTTGTATAGTTAGTAGTTTCCATTCGCAATAAAAAAAGAAACAAGACTGCTTGCATCAGGGCAAAACCTTGAACGTTTCGACTGCTTTTTGAGGTCTATGCAGTAGTATTTGATTTCAAAAACAAAAAAAAAATTAAAAAAGGAGAAAGAGTTTTTCAGATTTTTTTGAATCACCCCCCACTCGCTATGTATAGTAGAAAATAATATACTTTGAATCTAGAAAAGTAGAAAATAGACTAAATTAATAATGACTCACTTCATTATCGAAAATTTCTAAGCTGGATTAAATCTGAGCTTAAATGGTAAAAATGAGGAAAACAGCAATAATTGTGCCAAACTGGCAAAATTAACCAAAATGGGATTTTTCAACCGTCATCATTTTTACAAAAATGAACACACGTGAAATATCTTTTATGTAAATTTGACTTCAAGACAATAAAATCTTTGAATGGTGTAAAAAAATTCCGTCAACCTTTTTTTGTTGAATTTTGTTTTGAGAAAAAAAACAACAATTATTTTATTTTTTGTCGAAAGTTGGAATAGAATTAAAGTTGAGAAACTCAAAACCCACTATTTTAGCAGTACAATGCCCAGCACGAATTTGAATTAAGTTTTCATCAGTAATTTCGATCTTTTGTGTTTCAAAGGATGTGCTTGCCGTTTTTAGAGACAAAATTGAAAAAAAGTTCCAACACAAAAAGGCGGTTTTTTGTATGTGGATTCCCGAGATAAACTGGAACCTGATCTAAACTACATTTTATGATTGGATAAATTAGATATTTTACCACTGTAAAGTATTTAATATTAACCAATCATGATCCATCTAACTAACAACCCACTTATTTGTAAGTGCTGAAATTACTTGTAATTTCAGCATCAGAGAGATTTGAATTTAACTTAGAAATTAGTTGACTCTCCAAGAAGACTTCAGCAGCCGCAATAAACCAGTATACCCTAGATCTATTGAGCCTAGCAGAGATTAGTTAAACAACCTGAGACTAGATAGTATAAGAGAAAGATTAGGATCGGTATTAGACTAAGAAGTTGCACGAATCTATCCGGCCGAAAATAAGATAGCGTGACGAGCAGACGGTGTACCCTATCCGAAATTACTCTATGAGTTAACCACCACATCGGTCCTAACTCATCTGGTGCGACCAGTGAGGCAAACAAAAAAGAAATGTTCAATGTTTTAGAACACTATCACAAAATACTTCAAAATGAAAATTTGAAGGCCGCTCCCGATAAATCACACTTCTTTTTAACACGAGTTAAATTCTTAGGACATAATATAGAAAGAAAAACAATCACTCCATTAAAATCACGCATTGATGCTATTCAGAAGCTCTAACCACCAACAAATAAAAAGAAAATCCAAGAATTCCTTGGAATGTTAAATTTTTTAAGCAAATATGTCTATAAAATGCAATTATACCTAAGATCATTCTATAATATACTTAGACAACAAAATAATTTTGAATGGAATACAGAACATCAAGCACGATTTGGAGAAATTAAAAAACTCTTAACTGAACAAATTTCGAATACAATTCCAGATCCAAATCAACCATTTTATGCCATGTGCGATGCTTCGAACTTTGGCATCGGCGCAGCATTATTACAATCACACAATGGTACAAACAAAATGAACCTTATATCAGCAAATTCTCGATTATTTACTCAAGCAGAGCTACGACTCTCAACTCTAATGAGAGAATGTACAGCCATAATATATACACTAACAGAATATGAATTTCTGATACTTGGATCAAAACATCCAACAGTTCTATTTACAGATCACAAGCCAATCATCTTTCTTTTTACACAAAAATCTAATCCAAATCACCGAGTTTATAGATTTCAACTAATTTTAATGAAATTCCCAAACTTACATATAGTTTGGACCGCAGGAAAAAATCTTGCTTTACCAGATACCTTAAGTCGCAATACACCACCTGAATTACTTACACGTAAAACTACAGTTGAAATACCCAAAAATATAAAATTCTACCTTGCAGAAAACGAAACATCATCCCGACTAGAATGCAAATATGCAGTTAAAACTGACGTTGAACAATCCCAGATAAATAATCTACAACACTTCCCACTGTATTTAGATTGCCAAAATAACCACTACGAAGTTGATCTATTTGGATCATCAACTTTTAAACCAATTCCATATTCACAATGGATAAAAAATAACACCCAACAAAAAAGACTAAAACAACACTCGCATAAAAAAGACTTTTTTCCTTTAATTGAAAAAGAAAATCTAACAGATAAAATAAATTTATCAGGACCACAAACAAACGATTCAAAGTACACAATAAATCAACTTTTTGACCTACATGACCCACTTGATACAATTCCTTTATCTAAATTAGAAATTGAAAACATTTTTCTCCCTCCAACAGAAAAAATTACAATTCCGACCTTGAAACAATACCAAAATTTTGACCCAGTAATTAGACAACAAAAATCATGGCACAAGTATAAAACTAAACCCGTCAAGGCAGATACAACTATTTTCGAAAATTTAATAATACAACAATTAATGAAAACACAGACCTTCTAGAATACCAATTAAATGAATCTACAGTTCCCTGTCTCCCTTTAAGTAAGATTCTCATAGCTTTCAATATTTCACATACACAAAACATTAAAGGACACTCTGGATCAGAAAAAACATATTCAAATTTCATACAAAATTTTTATTTTCCAAAGGCACCAATTTGGATAAAAGTACTATGCAATGATTGTATAGTATGTCAGCTAAATAAACCTTATCCAAATCAAAAACAAATATCACAAAAACAAGATTTTAAAGGACAAAGTTTGTACTTTAACCACCGTATCTCATTTGATACAAAAGGACCAATTTCACCCTCATCCGAAGGAAACTCCTACATTATGGTAATTGTTGACGCATTTACACATTATGTAGCACTTAACCCAGTACCACATTGTAACGCTTATTATGCTTACACAACACTTTATGAACACTGGATAGCCAAATTTGGACTACCAGAAATTTTAGTTACAGACAACAGTACAGAATTCATAAATAATGAAATCATCACACTATGTCATTTATATAACATCAAACACAAACCACGTACATCTCACGCACCTTGGACAAACGGCTTAGTCGAAGGTATGAACCGTTCACTACAAGAATATCTTAGATGTATCATCAATGGAAATGATACAAGATACAACGAATGGTCAGCAGATGTAAAACTATTTCCCTTAGCATATAATTCACAAATCACCGACAACTCTAGGAATGTCACCATATGAAATGGTTTTTAACCAAAAGCCACGCAAACCGATAATGTTTACAGCAAACTCTCATAAAAATGCACAAAGTTATTGTCAACCAAATAAAGACTCAATTTGTTATAACCTACCTTTACACACACACGATGAAGATCATTTTCATCACCCACAAATTCTTAAATTAGCCTCCGGTACACACACCGAATGGATTTTAAACAGAGATAAAAAACACAATGAAATTTACCAAAAAGTAACAAAAAAGTTATTACAAAGACAAAACATTAATGAACAAATAAATTCACGCTTTACACCAGCCTCCGATTTAAAAATTGGAACATTTGTTTTAATACCCAATTTTAACACTCAAAAAGGAATTTCTAAAAAATTACAAACCCTTCGTAAAGGACCATACCAAATAATTGCAAAACCCACTGATATCACATATGAAATCACCGACTCAGAACAAAAAGAAATTGTTCAACATCGAAACAACCTATTACCTTATTACCCAAAAGAATACGCACTACGCGTACTAACTCAATTATATTCTTTTACAGGATTAAAAATTATTCAAAGTAATCTACATATGGAAAACACAACAAAAAAACAAAATGACATTCACCTCGAAAACCAAAATACAAAATTAACTACAACAAAAAACATTACAAAAAAGCTAGATCAAAATACATCTCAAAAAGAAAGAAAAAATAGAAAAATGATAGAAAAAGTAATACCCCAAGAGCAAATTGACAAATCAGAACATAGAGAGTCATCACGACTTAGAAATCAACCGCGTAAAAACTATAAAATATTCATACCACAATCTAAAATATTAAAGAAAGTCGAATTTCAAAAACAGCTTTAATTTTATATTTAATAATCT